CCAGGCCACCTTCTTTTTTTTTTTTATAAAGATTTTATTTATTTATTCATGAGAGACAGAGGCAGAGGGAGAAGCATGCTCCCCGCGGAGCAGAGAGCCCGATGCGGGACTTGATCCCAGGACCCTGGGATCATGACCTGAGCCGAAGGCAGATGCTTAACCGACTGAGCCACCCAGGTGTCCCTAGGCTGCCTTCTGATAGCTGATTTGTGCAAATTAAACAAATTTGTCTGACTAAAGCAGAATAGTAACTAGAGGATCAGTTGCAATGAAGGTAATTATTCAAAGAGCATTTTTATTGTCCCCTTCTGAATTAATGAAAAGGAAAAATTGTTCTTTTTTCTATAGGGACTTTATTTTTTTTTTCAAGATTTTATTTATTTATTTGACAGAGCACGCATGCACAAGCAGGGGAGCGGCAGGTAGAGGGAGAAGGAGAAGCAGGCTCCCCACTGAGCAGGGAGCCCGACATGTGGCTCCATCCTAGGACCCTGGGATCATGACCTGAGCCAAAGGCAGACGCCTAACTGACTGAGCCACCCAGGTGCCCCTCTATAGAGACTTTAGATGAGCTTTTAAAAAATGGATGAGCTAAAATCAAACAGTTATGATGAACCTAAAATTAAATAATTAGGAGGAACAAAAAAAGCCATGTTTTTCATGTGCCTTGTTTTGAAGGAACAAATTACCTGCAAAAGACCTGATTAATGTGATTCAAAATACATGTACTAGAAGATTCACAGAATGCCTTAAGTCACTGGTGCATTTAAAGTGTTTTACTTACGTTTATTCCAAAACCTTTACTGCTGAAATTGAGATCTAGCTTTATCTACTTGTGAAAAATAAAAGTGCAGCTTAATGATTCAGTAAACTTGTGCTGAAAACCATCTGAGTTCTGGGCTCTGGGGGTAGAAAAATGATGAAGACCCTGCCACAGAAGAGCTTATGAGCCCCCCCCACACGCACACAGGTGACTTACAAATAAATATGCACAATTTGTGGTTGAGGCTCCCATAGTGTGAACGGGGTTTGTTCCAGGGCAAAAGGGGGGGGGGTGTGATTAATCCTGGGCTCTGGGTTAGGAGGTGGGAAAGCTTTGGAGAAAAGGTAAATGCATGCTGAGGATGAGCGGATTTAAGATGATTACAATGAGAGTGCTGGTAGGCTTATAGGTCATCATATAATTGTCGGGGAGGAAGACCTTCCTCTGCCCTGTGGTCCCTCTAGCAGGACCTAGAATCGAATTGCCATGAGATCAACAGGAGATAACCAAATTTAATAGGTGTATGTATGGGGACGCCACACACACATGAGATTCCAAAGATAGTCAATGGAAAGCTTACCTGAGCTAAAGAGGGGGAGAGGGGTTTAGGATACAAGAAGAAGGCTGTTGGCAAGAAGGTGAAAGGAGGTGCCCTATTATGCAGATCAGTTTCTTAGGTAAAGGGGAGTCTATTTAGAGCTCTCTTCCTGGAACAGGCTCTCCTTTTCTGTGCAAATTTAGGCCTTTGAGAGCCAGGCAGATAGGTTTTCCTGCATCTGCTGGGTTTTGATTACTTTTAACTTAATCTTTATACCAAAGTGGCCCGTCTAGGGGCAGCCTGCCCTTGGTCCCTACATAATCATTTAATAATTTATATGTATAGGTATTTTGTAAGTTCTTAGGAACTTTTTTTTAAATTTAGATACTACAGCTATCTAACCATATATTTGTTAATAAGGTAGTAATAACTGTTAATAACTGTTAAATACTTAACTGTTAAGTATTTTCAGAATCTGCATTTCTTCCCCTCCTTGTTAGTAAATTTAAAAACTTTCCACTTAAATGAATGAAAGAAATCTGACAGTTTTAAATTAGAATGAAATGTTTTCTTTGAAATCTTGGAAATAAACCAAGTGAAGGGCCTTAAAACTGCATATATTTGATACCTAAAATTGTAATTATGCATTCCTTTCTTTGGTTAATCAACATTAATTCAAAGTACTTAATGATTTGCAACTATTCCAGTAAGATTTGTAGTTCATAATTTCATGTACTTCGCTTTTAGATCTTTTCAGGTTTTAACTATGAAAGGCTACTCTTTTCTAACTTATTTCTGTGGAATTCCAACCAATTTATAGTGGCAAATGAAAGAATTTAAATAGGCAGTCAGCCCAAATATTTACTTTAAGATAACTAAATTATGTTTTGTGAAAGGCTTACTCTTTTTTTCCCCATCTTCTTGCATTTTATTTGGAAATACCTTTTATTTCAGCGAGATACTATGCATATTGAAGAATAACTTTAGAAGTATGAAAGATGTAGGTATACATTTTCCCTTCAGTGGCTATGAATTAGGGTTTTTTCCTTCAGAGTGATCTAACAGTAGAACTATGTTTTCTCCTTCTGTTTTGCCCAATTAAATTCACTACTTACTTTCTCTAGATACCACAGAGGCCACTTTTAGGCAGCAGGCTTCAGCAGTGGAAACGTGAGCAAGGGAAAAGGGCCCACAGGGACCCCTGAGCTGAATGCCAACAGGCTCATCAAGCGACCCACCTGCAAGTGGCTATAGGCCATCACCTGTCAGTGGGCTGCTTACAACCAGGCGAATTCCGTATGTTCCCAGCCCTGTTACTACAGCCCCTCACCCCGCCTAGGTAGACAGTCTCTCCTGGCCGTCCTTCCTGCTCCTGTCTTGCAGTGTATTCAGTAAACTTCTGTTTCCTTCATTCTGCCTTGGGTGATTTTTTTCACAGCCTGTGCTGCTGGTCCCATCCAGTTGGAACACGCCAGAATTACCACAATCAAACTAAAAAAAAAAAAATGCCTTTTAATAACTTGTCTGTTATCTGCCTTCAAAGGCTGCAGCCTGGCAGTCTATTAATCAAGCTCAGAGCTTGAGCAGGAGAGGACAGGGAGAGCCTCTTCTTGGACAGCTTGGGGGCAGGCAGGTCTCCAAAGAGTGCTAATCAGGTTGAATCAATTAAATCGAAACCTTTAAATGTGATGCCCCATCCAGGGAGCTTAAGCCCCAAAACAGAAGGTCGTGGCTGCAGTATTGTCAGCACAGTGCGTTGTACCCATGCTGGGAAGCAGTTCCTGCTTATTGGCCAGAGAATGGGGATCGTTCACGAGCAAGAACTCCTCTTTTAACCCTGCATAGATCAAACTGTTGGTTTAGGGTTTGGTTTGGTTTTTTGGCACTGATAGACTTTATTAATAAAAAATTGAGCAAATATGTAAACACATATTACACGTATAGCATGGTATAGTTTTCTGGGGAAGAGCACCGGAACCTCAGTCTGCGTCCCTGATCTCCGCAATGTTACGTGCTCTAGTTCCACTTTTCTACAGAGATGCTGAGTTGACGTCATTTTCTTCTGTTGTGAAGATGTTAACGAAGAGTGTTGTGACCAAAAGATCTGTGTGGACATCTAAAAACATAGATCTAAAAACCCTTAGTTAATTCATAATCTTGCATAACCCATGATGACAGGATACTGAGAGAGAGACAAAAGTGCCCTGAATGATATAAAAAAACAAAACACTGTTAGCAGTCCTTTCCTTTAAAGTCTTTAAAAATATACTTTTAATTTCTCAATTTTGTGAAATATTTAAGACAGAACTACAGACTCATAATGAACACCTGTGCACCCGCCATCCCGTTTAAGAAATAAAACATGACTGCTGAACACAGTGAATTGTGCAAGACTGTTGAATCACAGATCTGTACCTCTGAAACAAATAATACATTATATGTTAAAAAAAAAGAAGAGGGTAGCAGGAGGGGAAGAATGAAGGGGCAGAAATCAGAGGGGGAGATGAACCATGAGAGATGATGGACTCTGAAAAACAAACAGGGTTCTAGAGGGGAGGGGGGCGGGGGGATGGGTTAGCCTGGTGATGGGTGTTAAGGAGGGCATGTTCTGCACGGAGGACTGGGTGTTATACGCAAACAATGAATCATGGATCAGCACATCAGAAACTAATCATGTACTGTATGGAGACTAACATAACATAATAAAAAAAATTAATTAAAAAAAAAATGACTGCTAGAGTTGGAACCGCCATGTGCAGCTCGCATGTTGCATCCCGCCCGCCCGCCCCAGTCCTGGAAGTCACCTATATCCTGAACTTTCTCTGTTTTTTTTTTTGTTTTGTTTTGTTTTTCTAATTTTATTTATTTTTTTAAGGAAGCCCTCTGCCCAGCATGGGGCTTGAATTCATGACCCTGAGATCAAGAGTCACGCGCTCCACCGACTGAGCCAGCCAGGTGCCCCAGTGAACTTTCTCCATTCTTTACAGAGATATAGAGAGTCCTAATCATGAGCCAGGTTTCCCTGTTACTTACAAAATAAAGCTTTAATCTTCAGTTTGGTATTCAAAAGACTTCTCCCATTCTGGTCCAGATCTCCCTGGGGTCCTTGCTGCAGCTCACCAGTCCTGCATGCAGCCGTTTGACTCGAAAGTGCTGGGGGTGCCTCCACGGGCCCCAGACACCTCAGACACCACCACTCCATTTCTTTGTCCACCTTTTCATGAATGTCCTTCCTTCATCTCATCTGCCGAAACCACACCTAATGACGCTGCTTCTGCTCTTCAGTCGACAGTTCTCTGATCTAAAATGTGCCGTCTTTTCATAATGTTTGTGTTACGTCTTCCTGTCACTGTATTACACGGCTGTCTCTTCCACTACACTGCGGGCTTTTTGAAGGAAGATGTATCTTACAGAAAAAGCTTCAGATACTATAAGCAGTAAATAAATGCTTGTTGTGTTTTTCTCATGAGGGTGTTGATCATTCTGTTTCACTTTATAACCATTAACCTGCCCTCCACTTAACTACTTTATACACATGTGCCATTTATGGTCTCTGATGCTGCTAAGAGAAATCTAACTTTTGTTAATCATGGGTGGAAATATTCATGACTTTGTCGATTTTTTGACAGTGTCCTGTTTTGTTTGTTACAGTAGTGCATGTTTTGAAATATTAATGTTTCCTTTTGTTTTATCTTTTAGATATTGCTATATGGAGATTTGCCAAAAAATAAAGAAAATATAATATATTTAGCAAATCATCAAAGCACAGGTTTGTATTTCATTTGCATGAAATTTAGGTTTTCTACAGAAAGTAGATGGGCATTCAAAATCATGTTTTTATTTATTTAAATGAAAAATTTTTTGGTTTTTGTTAAAACATGAATTTTCAATGCAGATATTATATCGTGACCTTGTGTTTTTGTGATTTTACCTTTTTGGAAAGTCAGGCATAGGAAAACTATGAATTTTCCCAAATTTACCTTTCTCCCTCTGATGGGTGTAAATGAGGCATTTTCTTTCATTTATTTTGTTTCTTTGAATAGTTTTTTAAATAAATTATGCATTCTTCCTTTTGTAAGTTCTGTTCCTGGACGTAAAATTGGGTCAAAGTATGTACACATTTTACGTTTTTGATTGTTAAGCAGAAAGGTGATGCTAATAAGTGACTACCCCTTCCCTAAAGGCAGTATTAATTTCTAATGTCTGCAGTTCCTTTGGCCTCATCAAATGTTTTAGTTTAATTATAGCTTGCTGTTCTGTCAGAAGACTCTGGTCTTCAATTACAGTGCAGTATATATTTTAAAGCACTTTAAAAAAAAACCTTTTTATTTTGAAATAATTATAGATTCTCGAGAATTTGCAAAAATAGTATATGGAGTCCTGTGACCTCTTAGTCAATTTTCCCCCAATGATGACATTTATATAGCTGTTGTACAGTATCAAAGCCCAAGAAATTGACGTTGGTTAAGGTACTTTTTAGTTCTACAGATAATTCAGTCCAGAGGAAAATCCTACTTCATATTTTTTCAAACCTATAACTGCCTGTGATGCACATTTCCTAAATTCCATTTTTCTGACTTTAAGAAATGTACTACCCAGAAGTTCAAAGCTAAAAACAACCTGAGGGATTATAGGATACTGGAAAAATCACTTAAGCCTATGGCTGTTCTTTATCTTCCTCCTGTCAACTGTGTCTCTTCATGATTTTGTTGCTTTTACTACTACTTGTACCATGGGTAAGGTAAAGAAAGTAAAAAGTTGAAATGCATTTTTCTCAATTTAGCTTATTAATGATTACATTCAGTTTTATGGCACAAGAGTTGATTTTACAAAGGGTTGATAGGAATTTTGATGTGTCTGTGTATTTCCCTGACTTCATGAATGTGACTGGCTTGGACAATTTAATTACATTTGACTTCAGCAAAGCAAGCAGCCTGATTGGGCCAGTGTCTGCTTCCAGCGCTGGCCGGTAGAGCAGCCTTTCTTCTGGATTTTGACTGTTTCTGCAGACACACCGGGTCTTTACTACTAACAGTCCTGCTGCTTGTTCTGTTGCTGACGGCGTATTTCTACCAGGCTTCCAGTATCCAAATGTAAAGGATTTATGGGTCCAGGGTAGGCAGTGGCTCATGACAACCCAAATTTCCTTTATATTGACCCACTGGTTCATTTTATTAAAGTTTTTTTATGTGTTTAAAGAGGATTCTCTCTTAAAATTCCTTGTTCGGGTTCCCTGCCAACTTCCTTTTTGCCAGGTTTCAGTGTGAAATAGTTGTATTAACAGAGCTGTGGAACTAGCGTGAACGTGTGGAGTAAGTACTCCCCACGCTCCTAGAGGCGGTGGTGGTAACACCAGCAATAAAATGAGACCCGCCGCCATCACTGGTGTGCTTACTACCTGTTGGCCTTTATATACATTACTTCAGAGTGAGGACTTGGCGGGAAACATTTGGAAGAAAACAGTTTTGTTTCCTACTTGTGTGTTTAGAACTAGAAGGTAATATGGGAAGTATGAGCTCCAAAGTCAGCCCACAACTGACCTGAAAAAAGTCCCACTTCTCAGGTCAGAGAGCCGTTTCCTCGTGCCTTTATCTGACCCCTCAGGGCCTGAGACTTTCTGCTACCACGTTCTGTACCAGTTAGCCTTCGGGATTTGAGAGAGCTACTTTTTTTGAATGCCTTTTAAAAAACCCATAACCTAGGAACATAACTAGATAGTGATTTTTAAATTACTTCAGAATTGCAGGTTTTAGTCAGAATATGATAGATTATGCCCAGAGATATGGGCACATACAAATTTGTGTATAGTGTTAGGTTCCAGAGACCCCTGAAGCTTATCCATGGTCATGGGTCATTGGCCGGTGGGGTCTGGGTACCCTTTTCTTAAGACCCTTCTGAGATATATTAAGAACCACAAATTAGTATCTAAAAATGTAATTAACAGAAAGAATATTTCAAAGACTGCTGTTCAACATGGACTGTCTGGTTTGCCCTCTACTAGGCCTGCCAGAATACGAGTCTCTTCTGGGCCTCACGTTCCAGACAATTGACGTTTTAATTAGTATCTCTTCTCTGGTGTTTTCACTTGATGTGTCCTTGCTGTCTCTGTATTCTTAGTCTCTTAACTTATTTCTCTGCCGAGAGGTTGTAGTGGCTCTTATTCCTTCCTCTCGGCCTTTTTAAATACCTGCTTTTGACACTGTTTACCTTGACCTCAGGAAATGCACCCTTTTCTTGGTTTCAGTGATATTTGCCTCAACTAACAAAATATGTGGTGAGTAGATTATCATAAAAAGGTGTGGGCTTTGCCGTCAGACCCTGGCTCATCTGCTCTTCGGCAGTGGGCTGTGTGACCGTGGGCAAATCACTTAGCTTCTCTTAGCCTTGTTCATAAGGTGTGAGAATGTCTACTGCTCAGGGTTTTTAGGCAATTTCCATAGGCTAGCTCCTAGTCTCTCAGCATGCCTGGTTTATGGGGGGCATTTAACAGCAGGGGTGGTGGGGGTGGTGACGATGATGGCAGCTAACCAGGAGCAGGCGGTGCTGGGTCCATGCTAGACAAGTGCTTCCTGCCCAGGATCTCCGTTACACTATGCAGTACCCTTGTGACTTAGGGACTGTCGTTACATAATAACATAGATGAGAAAAGCCTCGCTTTTCTTGCTGGCTCTCCTCTCTTCAGAGGTCACAGGAACAATGACACTGCTGTGGCCGTGTGAATAGTTACTGTAAAGGTACATATTCCCATCTCTGCTGTCAGCAACCCAGCTGTAGTCTAGCGTCTCCTAGCAGAAAACCTAGTTGAGAATAAACAGGAAAAGTAAAGGTAATTGAGTAGCAAAAATTGATGGCACAAAGTCTGGGTCTTTTAACTACTTAAGTTAGTTCTTAAGCTTTTCCACTAAAATTTGTGCAAGTTTAAGGCCATAGCCCAGGAGAGTTAATACCAACATGACACATTTTACACTTAAAAGTTTTAAAAGATGCATTCTAGGCCATGTGTAGCCATGTTTGTTTCAATATAAAAATGTGTTATTAAAAATTCTTCCAAACTATGAAAAGATAATTGTTCCAGGAAAAGATACCATATCTTGTTTTTAGCCTTGTACCCCAAATATGTTCCAGATGTACATTTAGTTCTCACAATTTATTTACATTAGGTACAGTTATTATAAGGTGGATCATTTGGCTTCCAAAACATAATCAGAAAGAGCTGTGTTTATCAGTATTGTTGAGGTGATTTAAATGAGAAGGAAGGGGCTAGGGAGATGGCTTCCAGCGGAAGTCACATACTTGAGAGTAAAGAGATAGTGGATCATTCTGTAGCGTCAGTGTCTCCAGCAGGCAGACACAGCTTCTAGGGATCCCTGGTTGTAGGAGAGTATCTGCATCACTACTTAAAAGGAGTTGTCATAGAATGAATTTGTGTAATTATAACTTAAGTCATCAAGAAAGAACTTGTGAATGATAAAGATTAAGAGATTTCAATAATTGATAACATGATTTTTCACAAGAATAATTTTTAGTGTTTAACTGGCTAAGTTGTCTTTGGGATAATCTCCCCAGTGTGATGTATTGTCTAAAGGATCTCACACAGCTGTAATCCTGTGGGAAACTGTTCATTTTAGTTTAAACTATTGTTAACTGCTTTAATTTCCAGGCTTTTATTTGCCATAGATTTTATTTTAACATTTTCCCCTCTAATTCAGTCCTTTTGTTCTGGCTTCCATGGCCCTGGATACACACGCGATAGTAAGACTACATTTTTTTTCAGGGATTATCATTTTTTTTTTCCCAAGGATCCCAAACTCCAGTTCAGTTTTCATTGTTATCAGAGAGATGGAGTAGTTTATAGCCATTTGCTTTCAAACCCAAGTCTCTGGTCTTCAAGACTTTTTACTGTTTTCCTGCTTCATTTTGTTTCATTTCCCCTGACTCTTTCGACCATCTCCCGTTTGCCACCTTCTGCACACGGTTTCTGGTTCTTTGCTTCAGCACAGGCTAGTCTTTCTGTTTGGAATTTCTTCTCTCTTCCTAGAAGTGTTGTTGTTATCAACACACTCATGTCTCATTTTTGCTTTTGCGACCCTTTGTTGCTAACATCCCCATGTACGCCCATTACTGGCCCTTGGGTACCTCTGCTGTGCTTCTGTAAGGGGCAGGTATCTGGCAGCACAGCCGTGGGCCTCAGATCTTTGTGCTGACTTTGTAACCTAGGATCGTGTCCTGGAAAGGCACCAGGGAAGATGAAGTGTCCTTGCCTTGTGTTGAACATATTAGTATATACACAATATATATGACAATTTCATTTAACCATTTTTTGCTTATAATTTCATTTTTTTAGACTAAGAATTAGAGGCACTTTATTCTTTGTTCATGCTACTTTTGTATCATATGGCGGTTTGTGACTTTTTCCATTTTACCTCTGAAATGAAAAGCCCTTCAAGGAACGCAAAAAGAAGGAAAAAACAACAAAGAATTTTTATAAATGGAATTTGTAACTTTTAAATGTCTACAGTTGATATAATTTTAAAATTCTTCTCATATATCCAAAAGTATATTCCTAGTATAATCTTGTGAAGAGGCTTTTTCTGTTTCTGGGAAAGGAATGCCGGAGTTCACATACAGATCATTTATGCCCTAATTGGGCTGTGTCTTTGCAGTTGACTGGATTATTGCTGACATTCTGGCCATCAGGCAGAATGCTCTTGGACATGTACGCTACGTGCTGAAAGATGGGTTAAAGTGGCTTCCGCTGTATGGGTGTTATTTTTCTCAGGTAACTTTTTCCATGTTTTCTTCATTATATATGTAGCTTATAAAAATTTTAGATTTGGAAATTTAGCATGCACTTAATATAAATGTATAGGTTGTTTTGTTTATTTTTATGGGTTTAATAATTTATTCCAAACAGAAGTGATTTTACTTGGGCATTTTTAATGGTGTGCATTTATGTACATGTCTGATCACCTAGGTAGTTAAATAGCAAAAATACAAGTGTACAAAAATCAACTAGGAGAATTTAAAGGCACAGAATCTGACAGATGATTACCTTAAGAAACTAATATTAAAACTTATGTATGATATGTAGGATATTAAAAAATAGTGTGCTGTAATGCAGAGTGTTGAGCATGAGTGCCAGGCGCATAATAAACATTTAGTGTAGGATATTTTCCAGAATGCCGTTAATTTGCTTCTCCAGCATACATTTGGTCAAGCTGCTTATCTGCTCAAAGTGTGTGTTTCTCAACTGTACCGTGTGCCAGTTCCCATGTGTGGCATTCATGCTCCACTGTGACCTGCCTCCCTGCAACCCACCTTTCTTTTTCTAGCCTGCATCGGTTTCTCCCTCCCTATCCTTCTTTGAGCTGTTGCTTTAGTTCAAGGCAATATGCTTTCCTCTGCCTCCAAGGCCCAGTTTAGATGCGATTATGAAACCCTTCCCGAGCCTGGCAGTTCCCTCCACCCTGCTTTTGTCTTGGGCTGTCTTTATTATTACACTTACCAGATTCTCTTGATACCTTATTTGTATACATATTTCACTTCCCCACTAATTTTTAAGTTCCTTAAGGAAAGGTACCTGGTCTTCACTTCTGTAGCTTCCATATACCTGGGAAAGAACCCAGGTGTTTTTGAATTAAAAAAGACTAAGAAGTTAAATGACAGGTGAGAACTAATATGTCAAGAGTAGGCATCACGTCCACTACAGCTTGGGGAAATATTACGTTGTGGTATATGCATGCTGTGGCTTTTAATTCTAAAGAGTCAGTAAAGAATGAATCAGTCCTGTTTGGGCAAACAGTGACATGCCTTCTGTAGAGCACCTTGAGTTTTTCCTCTGCACTCAGGCACGCTGGTTTCTTTTCTTTTTTTCTTTTTTTAAGATTTTATTTATTTATTTGACAGAGAGATAGAGAACACAAGTAGGCAGAGAAGCAGGGAGAGGGAGAAGCAGGCTCCCTGCAGAGCAGGGAGCCCGATGCGGGACTCGATCCCAGGACCCTGGGATCATGACCTGAGCCGAAAGCAGCCGCTTAACCGACTGAGCCACCCAGGCGCCCCCAGGCACGCCAGTTTCTATCTGGAAGGAACCACCACCAGAATGGAAGGCCACCTTGCTTCCTCTCTTTTTTTTTTTTTTTAATAAGATTTTATTTATTTATTTGAGAGAGAGAGAATGAGAGAGAGAGAAAGCACATGAGAGGGGGAAGGGTCAGAGGGAGAAGCAGACTCCCTGACAAGCAGGAAGCCTGATGCAGGACTCGATCCAGGGACTCCAAGATCATGACCTGAGCTGAAGGCAGTCGCTTAACCAACTGAGCCACCCAGGCGCCCGCTTCCTCTCCTCTTTATAGTCTTTATACTGTCCCCTCCTTGCTCCTATCTGTGCATTTCCTTTTACTCATATTCTTGGTTAAGACAAAATCAAGTTCAGCCAGTCAGTTTATTTTACAGATGAGTTCAAATTAGCACAAGCGAGTGCAAATAATATGGTGACTTGATGCAAAGTTTTGGTGAGGTACACTTAACGAAGTCTCATGAAGGATCCCTTAATTTGTATGACAGTGCCTGGGTTAGTTGGCTAGGGCTGCCCTAACAAAATACCACAGTCTGGATCTTAAATAACAGACGTTTATTTCCCCACAGTTCTAGAGGCTGGAAGTGCCAGATCAATGTATTATCAGGATTGCTTTTTGCCGAGGCCTCTCTTGTTGGCTTGTAGTCAGCTGCCTTCTCCCTCTGTCTCTCCTCTGTGCATATGCCTGTTGGTGTTCTAATCTCCTCTTCTTCTGGATTAGGACCCACGCTAAATAACCTTGTTTAACCTGATTACCTTCTTAAATGCCCCATCTCCAGATATCATCAGGTATTGGGGGTTAGGGCTTCAACATATAAATTTTGGGGGAACACAGTTGAGTTCATAACAGTGCTACCTAAACATCTGTAGTTGGGTCAGTCTTAAAAATCCCTGAAGATCATAAGTATTGTCATTTTAAAGATACTTTTAGTGATTCTACGTCATTGGAAAAATTGAGAGCTAAGAACTATGTTATTGATCGAGTTTTTTATTTTAAAAAATGAAAGCGTTTTTAACTGTCAACAAAACTAAATGTTCATGTATTTTCCTGTACCATGTAGCATGCAGTTTTTATTTCAATTATGTTGAAACCTAGGAGAGCTTTCAGGTAAATGTTTATTAGATGCTAATATTTGAATGTATTAAATATAGTTTAATTCCTAAAATGTAATTTTATTCTTTTGGGGAGTAAAGTTACTTTTTTAATGACTGGCCATTTGGTATTTTAATAGTAAATACTTTCCCTCCCCCCCTTTTTTTTTTTATGTGACAGCACGGAGGGATCTATGTAAAGCGAAGTGCCAAATTTAATGAAAAGGACATGAGAAACAAGCTGCAGAGCTACATGAACGCAGGAACTCCAGTAAGATCATTCCCCCTTTTATTATTTTCCTTATCAATTCTCAGTTTTTAAGAACTACATTAGAACTTAAGAACTGTGTTGAAAATGTATTATTCCATGGGTAATAAATGATTGAGAGTTGAGGCAGTAAAAACCGTCTACATATAGGTGAGTGGCTGTTTTTGGCCATCAGGAAGAGGCTGCAGACTCTTCAGTCCTTTGCTGGTGGTAAGGTCCTCCGAACGAGCAACAAGAACGGTGGGTGACTGTGGTCTGTCAATGGAAGTCCAAACCACACCTGCGACTTGCACTTCAGCTACTAATTGCTCATCTTCAGGATCACATGTAGTTTGAAAAGAAACAAATTTTCTTTGTGTCAGTGTAAATTTGGATTGCTTGTATACATTGTTATTTGAAAAGTCAAAAAAAGTATGAATATCTGCAAATGAAGAATCATTCAGTGTAAATACTGTCTGATAAAACTTTGTTCCCTAAAAAAGGAATCTCAGGATTCTCTTCGAAGAATGCTGACTGCTGCCCAGGGGCTTTCCCCCCAGCTCCCCGTGAGGGCAGAGCACCCTGATCACAGCGACCGCTTGAGCTTTGGTCACCAGTGCTCAGGAACTTAGCTCACGGCTACAAGTTTTGGTTTTTTTCCTCCCTCATCTTCTCTCTCCTCCTCCTCCCTCTTGTTTTCTCTCTGCCTTCCTTTTTCTTTTCCTCTCCTCTCCAGGGCTCATAGGTAGCAGCCAGAACTCATATTTAAAGATGAGTTTTCCGCAGTCAGCTGATGAAGTGCCCTAACGTTCAAGATTTTTGCTTATGAACCTTGTCTAGTTGTTTTGACATTGTGAAATTGTGTTCTGTTTGGGGATGACCTGGCGTAGAATGTAGTGCCCCTTTATCCTGTTACTACTTACCCTTGAGAACAAAGTGTAGCTTTTTGAAAGGTCTGTTTACTCTGAAAAATTTGGCATACTGGGCAGAATGGGGGCCGTTGTTTATAGATCTCCATAAGATAGAAGAGATTGGCAATATGTATATTTGCTGTCTTTTCAAAAAATAATTTAAAATTTCAGCACTGACTTACACATTAAAGAGTCCATCCTGCTTCTCCCCTCTAGCTATGCGTCATCCCAGGTAGGGGAGCTGCCCTGAGGTTTCTTGGGTATTCTATAGACATTGTCTATGCCAAACAGATGCGTTCAGTCCCCTCTTTCCATGATTTCAGTGTTCTATACGCAGTTTCCCCTTGCTTCTCTGTTATTCCTTTTTCTCTCTGGCTCTCCCTCCCTCCTCCTCTGTGTTACATGTTTTTTTCTCTCTGGCTGCCTTCATGAGTTTCTCTTTGTTTTTGGTTTGCAGGAGTTTAAGTATTATACATCTTAGTGTGCTCTTTTTCTTTTTCCTCCCTCTTTATCCTGCTTGGTCTTCTCTGAACTTGGACTTTTGGTTTCATGTCTGTCATTAATTTTGGAACATCCCTTGCTCTTATTTCTTTAAATGTTATTCCTACCCTGTTCTCTCTTCTCCAATTACACGTCTTTGGGGCCATTTGTTCCACAGTCTTTTTCTGATTTTTGTTTTGCTTTGTTTTTTTCACTCTCTTTTTCCCTGTTGTCTTACAGTGTAGGTAATATCCACTGACCTATTTTCCTGTTCACTGATTGTTCCCTTGGCTTTGCCTAGTCTGCTGGTGGTGCCAGGTAGAGGCATTCCTCATCTCTGTTCCTGTTTTTCATTCCCAGTATTTCCCTTTGATTCTGTTAGTTTCCACGTCTGTGCTAAACGTATCCATCTGATCATGAGGATTGCCCACCTTTTCTACTAAAACCTTTGTTGTGTTGCTAGTAGTTGTTTGAAATTCCCCATCTGGTAATTACAACATCTCTGATTCTGAAATTTTTGGTTGCTTTGTCTCTTCAGACTGCTTTATCTTGCCTTTTTTATACCTGCTACGATTTTGTTGAAAGTTGGGCCTCTTGAGTAGGACAGTGGAGATTGAAGTAGTTTTGATACCTGAGAATGGCTATGCTTGTCTTTTTGCAAGACCTTCAGTGAGGGCTTGAGTCAGTTGAGTCAGGAGTTGTACCGGATTTGGGTTTTACTGTTGCAGTAATTTTTCTCACAGACTTCAAATTACTGTAGCATTCTTTACTTTGTGTATAGGGTGGGAGATGTTTTGCTAGAGAGTTTTTCTCAATGCCTGTTCCACACTGAGTTTTTTGCACTACACTTAGAGTCTCCTTTTTGAACCTCCCCCAACAGCGTCCTCTGGTACTTGTTACTGAAATCCTGTCAGTTTGGTGGGGAGGCTGAGAGGGGAGGTGTGGTTTGTTGTCTAAGTCTCAGGAAGGGTCTTGGGGTGGAGGCTTTTCCCAGCTTCTCTCCTGCCTTGCTCCCAGCTCTAAATCTGTGCCCAGGATGTATTCTTGCTCATCCCCTGCAGAAAGTTTTAACCTTCTGTTCCTTTCCCCCAGCTGCATTGGATTTTCATCAACTTGAGAGTTTAAGAATGTTGTTCCACAGGAAAGATAGAGGGGAAGGCTCTCTGCTGGGCTTTGTGCCTTCCCAGCACTGGCTGTGTTCTCCCCCAAGCCTGCACCACCATCATCATCATCATGAGGATGAATTTGCAAGACACTGCCCTGGCCCAGCCTTTTTTTCTTTTTCTACTTCTCTTTTTCTTCTTTTTGGTTTGCATGTATATGTGGGGTGTGTGTGTATATGTTTGTACAAAGTTGTGGTAAATTATCCTGTGTCTGTAGCCCCCGGGAGTTCTTCTCTTGAACTAGCCCACACTCAGCCTTTTGCAGCTTGTTAAAATTTTAATTAAATCTTGTTATTGCCATCTGTTGGCATTTGCCCCAGGTAAATGTGTGCATGCATCTCCTCTCTCCTTAGATGTTCAGGTGAGTTGTTGCCATGCAACCTCAACTCTGAAGGGTTCAGTTTGGTGTTTTCCCCGTTACTCTTGTAATATTCTTTGTCCTAAGCCTCCTCTTGTTTTTTTGTTAATGTGTTGTAAAACTTGGAATGATTTTAGATTTACAAAAACATTGCATGGATAGTCCAGAGTTTCCCATTTATTCGTCACCTAGTTTTAAGGTTAACATTTAAGATTAACATCTTTCGAAACCATGATTCATTTGTCAAAACTAAGAAAGAAACATTGGTGTCATACTATTAATTGAACTACAGACTATTCAGATCTCTCAAGTTTTTCTACTAATGTCCTTCTTGTTTCAAGATGCAATCCACTGTACCACAAATCCATTTAATGCCTGTGTTTTAAATATATTGTGTTTTTCATGGTATGCTGTACTGTATGGTTATTATCAAATCTGTTATTTTTGTTTTAATCTTCAAACTTTGTTTCTTTAAATATTGAAGGCATCATTTAAAAGATGTATTAAGTAAATTTGTATTTAGTGATCTCAGTATGTGAAGCCCTGTTGTTTTCTGCCAATTCTTGCTCATTGTACATTCTTTCCTTATGTGCTTGGTTATCTTTATTTGCTCCTGATTCTATTTGGAAAATTATCTGTAGAAATCAACTCGAACAGTAGAAAGTGCCTTCCTCCAGAGAATATTTGCGTTTGTTTAGCTGTGCCCCTTAAAGCTTCTTCAGTGTGAGTCCACCCAACCGAATTCTGAACTTGAGGTTAACTGGACCAAAGTTGCAAATCCATATGAGACTGACTGACTTCTGGTTTACTTTTGCCCTAAGAGTATAGCCTTTGGTGTTCCCTTTACCTCTTTTCACCCTTTTTTTTTTTTCGTATTTTGAGAGAGAGATTAAGAGAGAGCACAAGCAAGGGGAGCAGCAGGCAGAAGCAGAGGGAGAAGTAGGCTTCCCGCTGAGCAAGGATCCCGATGCCGGGCTCAATCCAGGACACCTGGATCAGGACCTGAGCCGAGGGCATGTGCTTAACCAACTGAGCCACCCAGGCATCCCAACTTCTTTTCACTTTTTTTTTTTTTACTTTTAATTTTATTGTTATGTTAATCCCCATACATTACATCATTAGTTTTAGATGGAGTGTTCCATGATTCATTGTTTGTGCATAACACCCAGTGCTCCATGCAGAACGTGCCCTCCTCAATACCCATCACCAGGCTAACCCATCCTCCCACCCCCCTCCCCTCTAGAACCCTCAGTTTCTTTTTCAGAGTCCATCGTCTCTCATGGTTCGTCTACCCCTCCGATTTCCCCCCCTTCATTCTTCCCCTCCTGGTATATTCTTCTTTTTTTTTTTCTTAACATATATTGCATTATTTGTTTCAGAGGTACAGATCTGAGATTCAACAGTCTTGCACAGTTCACAGCGCTTACCAGAGCACATACCCTCCCCAGTGTCTATCACCCAGTCACCCCATCCCTCCCACCCCACCCCCCACTCCAGCAACCCTCAGTTTGTTTCCTGCGATTAAGAATTCCTCATATCAGTGAGGTCATATGATACATGTCTTTCTCTGTTTGACTTATTTCGCTCAGCATAATACCCTCTAGTTCCATCCACGTCATTGCAAATGGCAAGATCTCATTCCTTTTGATGGCTGCATATATTCCATTGTATATATATACCACATCTTCTTTATCCATTCATCTGTCGATGGACATCTCAGTTCTTTCCACAGTTTGGCTATTGTGGACATTGCTGCTATAAATATCGGGGTGCACGTACCCTTTCGGGTCCCTACTTTTGTATCTTTGGGGTAAAAACACAGTAGTGCAATTGCTGGATCATATGGTAGCTCTATTTTCAACTTTTTGAGGAACCTCCATACTGTTTTCCAGAGTGGCTGCACCAGCTTGCATTCCCACCAACAGTGTAGTAGGGTTCCCCTTTCTCCGCATCCCCGCCAACATCTGTCATTTCCTGACTTGTTAATTTTAGCCATTCTGACTGGTGTGAGGTGGTATCTCATTGAGGTTTTGATTTGGATTTCCCTGATGCCGAGCGATATTGAGCTCTTTTTCATGTGTCTGTTGGCCATTTGGATGTCTTCTTTGGAAA